TCCAAGAAGGAGTGGATGGAGGAGAGAAGTGGGGATGTGTGAGGTCCCTTGAAGCCGGGCCAGTGGAGTTCACTCACTGTTGAAGAGTATGGGAGGCCGGAACTGGGAGGACAGGAGCAAAATAAACTGGGGTCATAGAGAGGGAGCAGGCATAGAAGGCCAGGGCTTGCAGTGCACTTGTGGTCTCTTCAGAGCTCCTGCCATGGGCACTGGGTGACAGGCGGCAGGGGGGTTGTCTGGGCCCTTGTTACAGTCTGGGACCTTGTTGGCCTTCTTTTTGGCCTTTCTAGAGGGGCTCCAGCACACACGGGTTTAGCCTGTATGGAAAGGGCTTCAACTTCTGGTGGGAGATCTCAGGCCTGAGACTAGGAAGTAGAGACCTTTGGAGACAGAACTCTTCTCTCTGGAGGATGACTAAGAAGACTTCCTAAGACTGTCTTCCCGACAGAGCAGGTGGCCTAGGAGTGGCATTCCCCACTGTGGAGGTGGTGGAGGGAAGGCCGGAAGGAGACCACAGGCAGGCCAAGGTGGCCCTTTCAGACTCTTCCCAACCCTGCAGTTGCTCCTGTTGGTTCAAGTTGGCTTCCTAGTGAGAGATGGAAAGCCAGAAGGAAAGATGAGGTCTTCAGGCCCCACCTGTGAATCAGACTCAGGGGTCTGCAGAGTGACAGTGTGTGCAGGAGACATTTGCCATCGCCAAGTCCCCGACTGGCTCCTGCCTCCTCTCAGGGGTTGGGCTAATGTAGGCTCAGAGCCAGATCTTCAGTCCTCAGCTCCCACCTGCTGCAAGTGCAGGATGGACACCCCCTCCATTGCTGAGCCTTCCCATGGTCTATTTGGTGAGGCAGACCCGGGAGATGGCAGGTTTGATTAGGGCAGCGTGGCAGTGTAAATGTCAAGAGGTTTTTGCTCTTAGATTGCATTGACCTTGAAACAGATCTTGTCTGGGTACCTCAAGGGATTGAGGATTGAGCTTTTTCCTCATGGGAAAGTTCTGCCTAGTGTCTGTCCCTCTCCAGACCTCCTTGAGTTTTTATAGAACTCTATAATTTCCCCAAGGTTTGTCCACACTGTTTGCTGTTGTTTGGCAGATGACTTGGCAGGGGGGTGGGCAGAAAGTATGATCCTAAATGTGAGTGCACAGGCAAAACTGTTACTCATTTTGAGAGGGGCTCAGGGACTCTGCAAAAACCCTGAACTTGTCTCCAGATGCTGCAGGCTGAGCCCATCACCAGTACTGTCTCCTGTAGTTTGAGGTCATGAATCTTAATTTGTAGTGGCTGGAGGTGGGGGTGGGGATAGCTTTGTGACTCATGATGTCACAGAGGCAGGGGAACAGAAAAACCACAACTAAGGGACTCCAGTTGGCAAAACGCAAACTGCTTCAAACCTATTCTTGGAAACTACAGCATCACATCTTGTTTCTTCCCAGAAAATGCAGAACCTTTCATCCTTCTGGATGAAATAATTGCTTCTATTTCTAAGACATGTCAAACTCCGAAAAGGCAGCAGCTGGGTGGTGATAAACAAGACTTGTCCACCCAGAGCTAGCCACCCAGAGTCCTCTGAGCTAATGCACTCTTGACCTGCTTCTTCTGGGGGGACAGGGGAAAGGTACCTACTAGAGGCAGGACACCCTGGTTCTCTGAAAACTTGATGCTCAGATTCCCTACTCCTCCTGAGTGCTAGGTCGACCCTTTCCAGTTCCTTAGTGGCACCACCCTGCACCCTGTGTGTCTTCAGCTCCTCACCAAGACCACCCTGAGTGAGGTTCCCCACTTGACATATGAGGAACTTGAAACTCAGTTCAATGACTTGCCTGGAGCTACAGGGCGAGGAAGCAAGTTTGAACACAGGTAACTAAGCTAAGTTATCAAAAATCATGTTCTCTTTTCCCCTTCCTTTTGGGTTGAGGGTGTTTGGGCCACTTGAAGAGTAATGAGTGCTAAGTTGTCACATAGCAGCCAGGAGCTAAATACATCGTATACCTAATCTCCTTTATTCCTTACCACCCTAGAAAGCAAATAGTATTGTTCCCATTTTACACATGAGACAACTGAGGCTAAGGCAGGTGAGAGAACTCACCTAGGGTCACAAAGCTAGTATGTACTTGAGACCAGATTCCTACCCAGGTTTGCCTGACTCAAAATGTTCTGTTTTCCCATGGGGAAAGTCACCCATTGTGAATGTTAGCATCATCTTTAAAGTCTCTGCCTTAAACTGGCAAGCTGATTTTAAAGGTTGAGATTTGACTCTTGAAATCGAGGGAGGCAGGTCTGAGCCTGGTACGGGCTGTGGGGTACATGTCCAAGGCTGCGTTTATCTCCTGCTGTCGGCCCATCTCCATACACTTCCCCTTATCTCGCCCCAGATAAGAGCGGGTTCCGGAGCTCCCACGCCCACCCGGAGCCCTCAGCACCACCTTTGGCTCTTTCTCCACCGGAGCCCTAAGATTAAGTCGTGCATTTTTCTTTGGAGGGAGGAGACGAGTTCTTCCAGTTTGTAAATTATTGTCTGGGAGTCCCATCTGCCTTGATACCGCCGAATGGCGCATGCTTTTAGACAAGGAGGAGCTGGCAACTGGGAGCGTTTTGATTTTCAAAACTTATTTTTTCAAACTGTTGCATCCCCCAGGTACAAATCTGCCTGCGTGATGGATGCAGCAGGCATGAGCACATCTGCTGAGCCTCTCCCAGGGCCAGGCTGTGCCGACACCTGCATTTCTTTCTCCCTCTTCACAGCAACCATCGAGGTGGGGATCATCATCCATCTGTTGTACAAGAAGAAACTGAGGCTCAAAGTCTCAGTGGCTTGTGTGAGGCTGTGTGGGCAGCAAAGGGCCAAGCCAAGCTCTGGACTCAGGCTCCTGAGGCCCCAGAGCCACCTGGCCATCCTTGAAAGGACCGCAGGAGAGCAGTTGAATGCAGGCGGTCTTGAAGTTGTCAGCCAGCTACTGTGTCCTTTGTTCCTGCTGGCACAGAAGTGGTTCCAAAGATAGATAGAGCCTGAGAATGTGAATATGCCCAGAAAAGCAAACGAGTCCTACTTCCGTTTATGCTTTCTGGGTGGCAAGTGTGGCACGTGGGGGGAAAGTCAAGACACCAAAGGTGGCAGTGTTTATGTGAGTGGTGCCAAGGGAGCTCAGTGGACATTAAAGAAGCTGGGGCAGCATCCGCAAAGGAATCCAGGTCTCATCTGGGCCAGGCAGAGCACCGCAGAGCCAGCCCTTCCAGCCTGTGGAAATTGTTGAGTGGCATGGGCCAGGGCTCCCAGGTGGGGCCTGGAGCCTGGTTGAGGTGTGCCAGCCAGCCAGGAGCGTGTGCTGGTCTGCCTTCAGCCAAGCACAGGGCCAGGCACACTGGAAGATCCCAGGGGAGGCTGGAAGGGAGGGCCAGGTTGGTGCTCCTGGGCACTTCCTTGACCTGTCCTGGACATGCCCTCACACTCACCTTCTCTGAACTGCTGAACCCTTGAACTTACTGTCATTTTGCAACTTTATGACTCTTTCCAGATTCGTGCCCTGTAGGGTCTCTCCTTCGCCTGGAATGTCACTCCCGCGTCTTTTAGTGAAATCCTCCCATTCATAGGACTGGAGCTTCTTGAGCCCCTTGCGACTCCTTGAGCTCTGCTAGACACCTGCTGCTCCGGCTCCACAGTACTCTATCCTTATTCCACAGCACTTGTCTATAGTCTTGTCATCAACTGTATGGTCCTGTCTTCTTGCCAGGCCAGGCCCGAGCCTGCATTGCTTATCTCTCCATCCCCATCCCCTAGCATGATGCCCGGCGCACACCTGCTGCGCCTCCAGCAGCTGCTGAATGAATGAGTCAGAGATCAGGGAAGGTGAGAACACTTTGCTTCACTCTTAGAATTATAAGCCAACCTATGATCCAAATGTACCCACAGAAATGTTCTTGGGGGTGAAAAGCTCTATTGGAGAGCTCAGTTCTCGTGAGTCCTTTTGTTTACAGACCCCACAAAAGGCAGGACCTCTTGACCACTGTCCAGCCTTGGCCCTGCCTCTCCACACTGGCCTCCTAGCACTAGCTTTGGATTCCAGAAAAATAGCTAGTATTTTGGAAAATCAGCTCTACTTTATTTTTGTTCCTTTGAAACTTCAGTGACTTTCCTAAGGCATGCCTGAGGGTGGAGTAGTGCAGAGAGAAGCATCCATGCCAAAACCTTGGCGAGCTATTTTTGTGAAGTGAATGAACATCCGCTGCATTTTTCCCTTCCATCAGCCTGAGCACTTGTTCCAACCAGCTCAGCCTGGACTTACAAAGCACAGACTCCTTTTGTCCATTTGAAAGAAGAGGCCCACGTGTCTCTGTCTCCCGTGTTTCTGACTAAGGTAGATGGTGTGCTTCCAGCAGATTCCAGAAACAGAAGGAAGTTTTGAGAAATTGCAATGGGTAACTTGTCTGGGGGAAAACACCTGCCCTCTGGTAACTAATGAAGAAAGATTTTAAAGTTTTCTGTCTGAGCACAGGTAGGACTATCATGAGGCCTGGAGAGGTGTGTGCTCTGGGGTTTTTCCCGTTCACTGATGTCATGGGGCTAGGCTGCATTCATCTTAGCCAATCAAGTCGCTGCACCAAGAACAGTAGGTTTTCAGTGGTATTAAATCTAGTGCATTTTTTCTGTCTTTCTCCTTCACCAGTCACTATTTCCAGAGCCATCTGGCTTGTAGCAAGATCGACCAGGTACCATTGACATGAGTCAGGGTATATATAACTTTGCGCAACCTGTGTGTTTTTTTTTCAGCCAGGGAGAGGAGTGAGTGGGTGCTGGGGAGAAAGACTGGCAGTAAGGCATCCTTGCCGGGTTAGGGGGTATGATGTACACTTTCCGGAGATGGTCTAGATTTAGCACTAAGTATAATGAATGAAGATGGGTGTTTTAGTATCTTAAAGGAATTTCATCACTTCCTGTTGGTGCCCATCCTCCACTCTCCCCTCACTGCCCATGCACCTCACCTCTGTCTCCACCCACCTTTGCAGGTGTGACGCGTCTCCTGGTGTTTCATGGTGATCCCCTCTGTCCTGTCCGCACCCTGCTCCACGTGGCTCCTGAACCATGGGGGAGAATGAGGACGAGAAGCAGAGCCAGGCCGGGCAGGTTTTTGAGAACTTTGTCCAGGCTTCCACATGCAAAGGGACCCTGCAGGCCTTCAACATCCTCACCCAACACTTGGACCTGGACCCTCTGGACCACAGAAACTTCTACTCCAAGCTCAAGTCCAAGGTGACCACCTGGAAGGCCAAAGCCCTGTGGTACAAATTGGACAAGCGAGGCTCCCACAAAGAATACAAGCGGGGGAAGTCGTGTATGAACACCAAGGTAAGGGGGACAGCCAGGGAGACCTGGGACAGGTGGGTTGGCATTTGGGAGTTAAGAGGCAGCTGCCCTTCTGCTATTTTGAAGCTCTGAACAGATGTGGGCGTGAATGTTGTATCGTCATGCTCGGCTGAAGGTTTCCTTTGTCTGTGTGCTTAGCTTGTCCTGGCTGGGAGTTTCCACATTATCCTGGTGGCCTCAGCCACCCTTCTGGTCTCCTTTCCAAAGGAGAGAAACCAAAGGCCAGGTGAGGGAGCTAAGCAAATCTTTGCTATTATCCTACTTCCACAGTTACCATGACCCACAGCTACCTCTGATACCCACTATTGATCCAGCAACTCCTGCGGGCTAGGCACTTTATATCCATGATCACACTGAACACCTGCAGGAGTTCTGTGGGCCATTTTAGAGAGGTGGAAATGGAGAAGCCAATTATACAGGTCACACAACTAGAAGGCAACTTGGGTCTGTTTGATTCCAGGGCTTAAGCCCTAAATTCCACACAGAGGCTTAATTAAAGAGATGTATTCCCCGGGAGCAAACCCTTAGAAAGATCCCCTGGTTTTTAATGAGTTGGCTAAGAAGTAGGGGTCTGTGGTCCCTACCTCCTTTTCAGCCCTCTTCTTTCCCTCCCTCCGGACACCTCTCAGTTCTCTACCTCCTTTCCTAGTATGCATGTCTCTGCTCAGGATTGCACTCATAGTTAATCCTCCACAAATATTTGCATCCTTTATCATTTGGCTTTAGGCTGCATCCGTGAAAGCAGGGCTGACCACAAATCACATCTCTGGCATCTCCAAAATGCCCACCACCCAACAGGCAGCTCAAAGTCAAGACTTGCCAGCTGGCCCTGGGGGGCTCTCGGCCCTGGGCACGAATCCAAGCCTTGTGTTTAGGTTGAGATTGGATGTGCTGTATTTAGACTTCTCAGGAGGTAGCTCAGTCAGAGCCCTTGGAATTCCAGTCAGTGCCAATCCCAGGACAAGGGGATTGAACTCTCCATGGCAATCAGCACTGTTGTGTTTTTGTTTTGGTGACGGAGGAGCTGTTGAGTCCATCGTGGGATACGGCTGCTTTCCATTGCTCTGGGGAGACAGCTGTCAAGCTCCCCTGAGCCTGGGATGCACTGACCGTCCAGGGCATAGGAAGAGCATTCCATCAGGGTGCGGCACCAAACAGACAGCCCAGGGCACATTAGCCACCCAGGCAGTACCCGCCATGCTCCAGCCTCAGGCAGAGACATGGCAGTGGTAGGGAAATAGAAGGGGAGGAGAGGTGGGACCAGTGTCCTGGCTGAACTTCCACCCAGGGTCCCCTCTCTAGTTGTAACTTCATGGTTCCCTATTCAGGTGCAGCTCTTCAGGGTTAAAGGGGTGGGGGGACTTGTAGCATTCAGTGTTACCCTTCTCAGTCATTGTATAAAGTAGCTTTCTTAAAAAAAAAAAAAAAGTTTTGCATATAGTCCTCCTCCAAGATAAAATTGAACAAACCAGTAAATAAATTCAACAGGTCCCATAGAAAGAATGGCCCAGCTGCTTGGTGCAGTCTCAGGAGTTTTCAGAATCCTGTTTTATTAGGAAATATCATCGCCCCACACACCCAGCACTTTGTGGGACTGCCTTGGAGATCTGAGGGTGGGTCCCCCCAGGGCGTCAGCCAGCAGGGGGATGAGTGGAAGGTTGGCCACCATGAAGATGTCGTCTTCAAAAATCACCAGCCAGGTGTTGCCTGGTTTGTCTGGCCAGCCCCCGTTTTATAGGCTTCGATGGCTTGAAGTGGCAGAGTCCTCACTTCTTGTGGCTGGCACCTGAGATACAAAGGGAAAGAAAAAGTCTTTGAGTTTGTGAGGTGGAGTAAGGGTGGTTCTTGCCTAGGGATTTTTATGCCTTTCTTTTGAGGAGGAACAAAGACATTTCAAATGTGTGATAGTCTGTCTCATGAAAACCCTGGGTGCTGAGAGTGGGGGATACATTTGAAAATGCACCTCGAGGGTGGATTGTGACTGTGTGAGGTCACTTGAGCTGCACACTTCAGAAGCCCAGCTCAATCTAAGCAGACAACACCGGTAAATCATTAACTCATGGGACAGGATGGCCCAGACACAGTCATTTCCATCCTCCCTCCTTCCATCTGTGTCTCAACGTTGTGCTCTGGGTTGGTTCCTTTCCTCCTCCCCGGTAGACAGATTTTCCTCCTCATTGGTAGCTTCTGCTTCATATATTTTGTAGGTTCATGATCCAAAAAGACTGGAATCTTTACCTTCCAGCTCAGAGTTGAAAAAATCTCAGGGAGGATTTTGATTGGCCCACCTCTGGTTTTATAATGGTGAAAGCCAGGGGGACTGGCCACTGTGATTGGCAGAACTTTCATGAATCATGATTAAGGTGAGGGAGGAGCAGGTCCCTGAGGATGGGGGGGTACAGGTCCCAAACAATGTGGGGGTGAAGAACAGACACAGGTGTCCTCTACAGTGACTGCTGTCGTGGTCCAATCCGGCCATATTGGATCCATGTGAGGGTGATTAATGCTCAGCTCTCCAAGGCCAGTGCTTATCTGCCTTTTTGTGAGGCGAAACCCTAGAAGAGGGATCCTGTGTCTCTTCACATGAACAGATACTGCCTGGTTTATGCATCACATTTAGGTTTCCTCTGGTGTAGTGGTGGACGCTTAGTATTAGCCAAACAAGAAATGCTGGGCATTAGCATACAGTGGCTGATCATAAATGCTAAGCCAGATATTGCAGGTGTGGCAGGTGTGGGGCATAAAGCCAAGCATCTGGTTAGCCACAGGTCTTGTGGAAATAAATGCAATCCAGCCAGACCCCTACCTCCACACCCATGTGGACACCTCTCCACCATCTGGAGTACATCTGTGCTTTAGCAGTTCACAAGCATTTATCAGGCCCTGGCATTCACACCCACATGCCTGTGCTAACAGTGGTGGTGGGAGACTGGGGACCAACATCTATTCGGAGCAGGAAGGCTCCGACGAAGGGGCCAGGAGACAAGAGAAAGACTTAGGAGGCCTCTGGAGCAATGATGCAGGTGGCAGTTGCATAATGCAGCTGGAGATCATTGTTCATTACTGGTTTTTATTTATGAGAGTTTCAGCAGGCGCTTAATAATTCTTTCCCTGGCTTCTGTCTTCCCACATAAACAGACACTGTCTTGTTCACAGCCCACATTTACGTTTCTTGGGTGTGACTCGATAAGAATGGGGTGGACCCAAGGATCAAGCCAGATTCACTCGTTTAGAACAGATATTGGCTCTGCCTTTGAGTCACATTTGGGTCAACTGTCACCTCCAACGGGGAACTGTTACCTGAGAAAGCAACCCAGTAGAACCTGGGATACATCATGGGGTGTAGGATCGCCATGTCACAAAAATCTCGGTTTCTTCATTTTTTCATAGGAACCTTTAGTGCTAGGAGGAACTTAGGAGAACGTGCCATCTCTGCATTTGACAGGTGACAAAAGGGGGTCCCAGGAAGCTAACGCTCCTTAGCTGGAGCCAGCGAGCGGCACCACTGGGGTTTGGACTTTCTTCCCTGGTTTGCTCTTAGGATCTTTTGTTCATTCATCCAGCAGCAGGTGTGTCTAGCTCCTGATCAGACAGGAAGGATGGTTTATAAGATGCATAAGGAGCACTTCCCACATGAGCTTTCTGTAATGGAAACAGAAATGCACTTATTTCCATATTTATTCGCTGATTTAATAATTCCCGAGATGAATAATTATTCAACACTAAGTAGCTAACATGTGCTAGGCCCTAAGTATCTAACAGCCAATTAACAGCTCTGTGGCCTCAGGCAGGTTACTTAATATCTCTGTGGCATTCTCTGAAGACAATAATGGTCCTTCTGCTTTATAGTTATGGTAAGGATTCAATCAGGTCATCTATTTAAAGTGCTCAGAATGTTGCCTACCACCTAACAAGTGATCAGCAAATATCTGGCCATTATTATTGTTAATGATGTACGTGCTGTAAGAGGTGTGCACACTGGCATGCGGGAGTATAGAAAAACAAGTGACTAACCGTGACTGGGGTAGTCTGGGAATGCTTCCTGGAAGAGGAGGAGTGATGTGGGGCTTGACAGACCAGTAGGATTTTGCCTTGCAGAGCTGAAGGAACACCAGCAAAGAGGTCTAGTTTAGGGAGGGTATTGCTTGTGTCAATGGGAAAGCAGGGGTGCAGGTGTAGAGAGGGGGTGAGAGCCAGAGAGCAGAATGCATGGATGAGGGGCATGCCAGGCTGGGAGGGAGAGGTGTCCGAGTCAAAGCGAAGACCTGGAGACCATCAGCAAGGAGCCCCAGCCCTTCCTGGAGTGGATGCTCCCACCTGTCCAGCCCAGGGCTCTTGCTACCACCTCCCACAATATTGCTCAGTAATCACAGGTGATCTTTAGGGACCAGTGCCCTGGAAATGACTCCTGGACATAATGAAGACTCTGGTGCTGTCTCTCTAGAAGAGCATGTCTGTCTTTTGTGGGGTCACTCCACACCTTCTCCTCCTGAGCATGACCCTGGCCCAGCTGTGCCTCTGCAGCACCTCCCAAGTGTGGAGCTGGGCCTCTGGCCAGTTCTCATGGCCCCACTTGCCCCGTAGCTCCTAAGTCACCTTTTAGCAAAGCAGGAGGCAGAGAGGTAGGGCGAGAGGGGGTTGGGGTGGAAGGGGTGAAACTGGGAGTAGAAGACAGCAGCTCTCTGTCGGCCTGGATAAGCCTATCTGACATTCCTGGCCTCTGAAGTCACCCACTGAGGCTGCGCTGGTCGAGGCAGGTCAAGTACCACGTTGCCTAATATGGACCATTGTAGTCCCAACCGATAAAGCAGAGGTTGGTCTCTGGGGTGTGGAATTCTGCATTCATGGAACAAGGGGAGATGGACTCTGGGTTCGTCCACTTACCTCATGGTGGACGGCCCGCGCCCCTGCATTAGGCAGGTTTGCAAGCCTGGCCCCTGACAGAGCTGGAGTCACAACTGATCCGCCTCTGCAGCTCCGTG